AAGGTTAAACTTCTGATTGTTACCCCTCTTGACGAACTAATTATTCCTAAGTGATACGTCTCTGTTCTTTCCCCCTCTCTCTCCTTCTTTGTTTCCTCCATCTCTCACACTGCCAGGCATGAGCTGAAGAAACTTTCTGTCCCTCCTCTAATGAGTGTAAGTCTCTGCCGAGCCAGGAGGGTCGACCCACCTACAATAAACTCATTTGTGTAATTGGAGAGAAGATTTAGGCGGCTATTAAATTGCACTAAAAAGGGTGAAAAAGAAAATGGGCTCTTGTTTGTAGTGCGGTCACGCACAGACCTGTGCATGCAATACACAAAAGGAACATTTCTCTTGCATGAGAGGCTTGATAAGATTACAGATTTGCGTGCATGCGATTGTGTAACACCAATCTGAAAATGCGCCGTGTTCCCTTCTCGTGCCAGTGGGAAAGAAATATCTGGGTGCAAACTATGCAGTCCTTTTTAGGTTTAAGATAGCTGCTTTTCATGCTAACCTACAAGTGACGAATGATACCTGACACAATGTCAGATGTCATTTTGTTTGGCAGCTTTAAAAATGTTTCAGCTTTTAGGCTTGTTCACGCTCTAATCCAGGGTCATTAACACTTGGCACGCTCTGACAACGGCATGACAGCGCCTCATTCATTTAGGTTTCATCACCAACTTCTATTTTCTTACCTGCTAAGTCAACACACTGCAATCGCTCAAGTCTTCTGTGTGTGTCAGACTTTAAGAGTTATGTTTTAATTGGCAGCAATGTGAATCTGCTGCTCTTCTGAGGTTCAAACCAAATATAGGTGCATAATATATGCTTCGGTGAATATATTTTTATCATTTAATAAGAAATCTAAAAAATATGTTTCTGCCTACCGCTCGTCACAGTAGGTGAATTTCATGTCCATGCTGTGTCTGCTCAGGAAGGTCTTGCTGTCCAGCGGCGTGTCGATGTTGGACGGGTGCGGTATTGGTTCGCACATCAGGACAGCGCATGTGAGCGGAGGCTCTTTGAAGCCGCACAGCACTCGTGGAGGGCAGCTGTTGTACATCCTCAGTTGTCCGGTGCAGTGGAGCACCTGAGGATGGAGTTTACACAGTGTCAGAGTTACCCCTGTGGTGAATAACCTGCAGCCATAGCGCGATTATTACAGTTTTCTCTATCTGAGTGTTCATATTTACCATGACGCAGACACCTATTGTAGTGGTCATGTCTTTTTTCCCCCCAAATTACTCGATATTAATGGCCAGGGCTGCGATGGTTTCTTCAAAAGACTGTAAATTACGTCTTACCTTTAAAAATAATGCTTTGCATTACTGCTGTACAACCCAGAGAAAGCATTTCTCTACACTATTTGTTACACTACTTTTGTGTTGCTGCACAAGATTGCTTGTGGAATTGCTATTTAAGGATATAACATTAAACTTTTAACATGGGCTTCTAGACTCCTACCAGCATCATGAATTGCTCTGGATGATGGAACTCCAGGCCTTGAGGGCCGGTGTCCTGCAGGTTTTAGATCTCACCCTGGGTCAACACACCTGAATCAAATGATTAGTTCATTACCAGACCTCTGGAGAACTTTAAGACATGTTGAGGAGGTAATTTAGCCATTTGAATCAGCTGTGTTTGATCAAGGACACATCTAAAACCAGCAGGACACCGGCCCTTGAGGCCTGAAGTTCCCCCAACCCTGTTCTAAAATCTAAACCCTACCTGTGTCCAATATGTGGCTAAATCTATTCAAAATGTAATAATCTCATTTTGTGTGTGCAGTTGCTGCAGATGTGATGCTTTGTAGATGTAGCAGTTGTTACCTTCCAGCTGGCTGACTTGAGGTTGACGGTGCGTCCTCTGTTGGTCACCGTGCATTTCATCCTCATGAAGAAATCTCTCTCTGTGCTCAGCTCTTTGCCTTTTTTGCCAAAGCCACTTCCTGGAAGACACAAAAAACAGTGTGTCAGAAGTCATCATCTGAATCATCATACCATAATACAAAGTCACTGAGCAGGGGCAAACAGAAGCATTTAAATGATTCAGATCCTGCTCTTGTGAACAGCTTTTTAGCTTTTTGCACAGTATATAAAATTCCCTTGACATTAACGCATATTTAATATATGGATCCTATAAGTATGAGGAGATTTAAAACAAAGTTCAGTGTCCTTTTTTTTGCAATATAATAAACTGGAAGTTCACTCCCTTTATCTCCCTTCCAGCTTAGACACAGAGGACTTGGAAAATAGGCCAAGCTGTTACATCACAAGGTCAGAGTTCAGCCCCGGAGCTGCAGCCACAGAGCAAAGACAAGTGAGTCTTTTGTCAAACTCCACGCTTAAAAGTGTGTCTCTATCTCCATATGGTTACACTTGAGCAAAACAAACACCACATAAAAGTTTCCCCGACACTTACAACCACTTTCATGTTCAGATGTGAATGAGTGTGGAGTGAAAGTGTGTTAAATAGAAAGGGTCTATAAATCAGAAGGTATCGTTCTGCTTGTGTGCTTTGTGGCCACTGCTGATAAGAGTTATCAACCACAGCACAGCGAGTGTGACCCTGTATGTGTGCAGGAGAGAGGGAAGGAGTAGAAAGTGGATTCACAGACAGAAAACATGTAGTATGGGTGTACTTCTGGGTCTGCTTTGCACTGCAAGTGTAACATCTCGTCACTATCTCTACCCCATAATGCCTTGTTCCTCTCTCAGCGCCTTCCCTCGTCTGCTCTTCCTCACGGTAGCAGCTCTTATCGGCTTTCCTTTGCACATGTACTTTACAACTCCTCTACTTTATCTGTTTATAGGTTCCTCTCTGTATGACCTTTGAACTTTTGTTCTCATGTTTTTTTTCCCCCTTGTGGACCCATCAGATATAGAATATTAATAACCACGCTCTGTTCATGTTTTGAATTGTTTTGCATAGATCGTTTCTGTCCCACAAGTAAAAGCAGGAGAGTTAAATGGCTCCGTAACAGTAAGAGCTGCAGGGCTGTACAAAGCATGCGGAAGATGTCAGGCGTTACACAGATTTACTATTTCAGAAGAATGATTTTTCCTTCTCAAGTAAATCAGAGGATATAGATGTCTGAGGGTCCATTAAATACTTTGGTCAACTCCTAGATAAGACAGCTGCTGACAACAAGCTGACAGTACTGTGGAATATCATCGTCCTGTAGGATTGTGCAGGATTTACAAGCCCCTGAACTTTCCTCTAGCACCACAGCCAGCCAAACACTTCTAACTAATCTACATTGGCCTCAATATTGAGCCACTGGTACATGAAGTGAAGAACCTGTCCAGGCTATATTAGACCTAAGCTAAAGTGTACATGTCTGCAAGTATGCACGGTGTGTTTAAGTCAGTGTTGACATCACCCACACTACACTACAACACAGCAACCACGCTTGAATCTTCCATATGGACAGCTGTCTGCATAAGTATGTGCAAAAGCATATCAGCAACTGTGCATTCAGTTTTCGGAAGTTCAAACGTTTTTAGGAAGAAAATGGGCAGATTTAACAACTCCTGAATAATCATTTAAGTTCATTTAAATTCCTCAGACTCTAAAAAGTGAGCATTTATCTGATGGAATTAGCCACTGACATCAAATCGAGTCAACGCCCGGACCAGTGAGACGTGTTTGGGCAGCACAAGGGATTTTGTTAATTATATGGTCGAACTGTGAGAATAAAGGGCATAAAAGGAAAAAAAAAAAGAAAAAAAAAAATCACACTATTAAGAAGAAGAAAACATGCTTATGACGACTTAATGTCATTAAAAAAGAAAAAAGTCAAGGTTAACACAGTCATATCCCTCGGCCCACATGACAGGAGTTGGAAAGTAAGCCAAGCTGTTACATAACAAGTGAGAGTTCAGCCTTGGAGCGATGCCTCAGAGCCAAGAAATGAAGTGTCAAACTCCAAACTCAAGACTTTATCTCCGTATAGCTAAGGTTGAGCAAAACAAACACAAGACAAACGTCTCTTCAGACCAAAAAAAAAAAACTGCGTACGTTAATATGTGAGTGACTGAGTGAACGATTTAAATAGAAACAGGTCTATAAAATATAAAGTATTGTTCTACTTGCAAGTTTTGCGGCCAGTGCTGATAAGCGTTATCAACACTCTGTGTGTGCTTATATTCTATATATACACACATGCAGGGGAAAGAGTTCAAATACTCAACAAAAAATAAATAAATAAGTTTAAATGAGTTTGTTTGCGTTAACATCAGCTGATGACATTTTATTTCACTGGAGTCACGCTGCAGATACGTAACACCAGTGCGACTACACATACACAAGTAAAGAAGTCACACGGGTGTTACTTGTCCACAGAAATGTCCAGAAAGCAGCAAACTAACACAATATTGGTTTATTGTCTTTTATAATTGAGGCGACTGTTGTTGTGATTTGGCACTACATTAAAAAAATTGATTTGAAATCAGAAACAACTAGAATTAAAATACAAACTCTAACATGATTGGGGGGAGTTTACTCAGATTATGCCTCCAGTTATCCAGCATGGCTGCATGACTTCAAACTTACATAATCTCAAAATGCTGTAAAAGTGGACCTAATGAACCGCTGCCACGATTTCAAATGGTGAAGTCAGAGTGTGTACAGGCAATGAATTAATATGAGGCACGCTCTCGGGTTTAGATGATACACGGTTTAACACAGTTTCTTTTGCTCTTGTTACTGTATGATGTCATTGTGAGTGGTCATGAAAGCGGACTCAATACGGAGGGTGACCATAAATGAGGAGGAGCTGATTTCAGACAGAATGAACTGAAAGGCGAATTGTTCCTTTACTAACAATATGAAGCTGGTAATGAGTATTACAGGTGACCTTTAAATGTTTCCAGTCTGAATCAAAGCTTAGGAATCTTGTCTTCTGGGCTCGAAGACTTAACTATTCGTATTGTGAGCATCTTTTAAGTGTCATTTTTTTATTATTTTTTTAATTTGCGTGGTATTAATGCTCTCCAGTGATTTGCTTAATTTGTTTTCTGGAGGCGGCTGCACACCGGTGCAGCCCCCTCTAGCTTCTGCCCGGTGGCTACTGGGTGACCCCTCGTCTGGGGATCCTCAGCCCTTCCCATGAGGGTGGCACGGATGCCCCTCCGGTGGTCCTCCTTGGGCTCTTGCACTCTGGGGCCTCTGGATGTCTGGGGCCTGGATCTCCTCCATGCCTGCTTCATGCCCTGGGGGCGGGGCTATGGCTCTCTACATCCTCTAGCAGACCATTACATGGGGAAACCATTTGAATACAAGCGTACCGATCCACACAGGTGTGCACACGGGTGTTCACTGTTTGTAGACTTAAATCACACCTTTCTTGGCTGCTACTTCAAAGCACATTGTGCGCTGTCTGTCCTGCGTGCTGCACAACAACATTCAATATTTAGTATTTACTGCTGTTTACACTTAGCTAGATTAATGCGATGGTGTTGTGTTTAGTATGTTGCTTTGTTTTGGGTTTTTTTTGCTTGTTTTCTACTCTTTTTCTCTCAACAGGTGATCCAGGAGATATTTTTTTTCCCCCCTTTCTCACTGTCCCTCTCCCCTTCTGTTTTTCTTCTCCTTCCTCTTTCTTTCTCCCTTTCCTATCCCTCACTCATGTCTGTCCCGTCTGTAACAACTGAAAATAAAATAAAATAAATAATAAAAACCAAGGTCGATCAAATGGACCAATACGGCAATGCCATGATGATCCATTTGGCAAAATAAATCCATTGGGTATCCTTGTTGGTCTTCAGACAACAATTCTGACGACTAAAGAACCAAATGGGACAGGCAAAAAAAAAGAAAAAGAAAAGAAAAAAAAAATGTTTTCTGTTACATAGGTCTTTCTATGATCTCCTCATTGTGACGTGGGTGGGACAAAACATCAACTTTGTACACAGGATATCCTATTATCTAATGGGCAGCTTAGCTTGTGAATTACTGAGCAAATTTATTCTTTTATTGAGTAGATAAGACTCCTCTACTTTATTTCAGGGGGCATTTTTTGATAAGGAGGAGAATGAAAAGATCACTTGTCATGTCAGAATGACTGCATATTTTTTTTAATCAGTAAACCATAATCAGGTGAATGTAACGGTTGTATGAGATTGTGTACTAACCAGTCGTCTTCAGACTGAGGTTTTCTCTGATCTCCTCATGGTCGCATGGGTGGGTGAAGTCAAAGATGCTGTGACCAGTAAGCTCCACCTGAAAAACAAAAAGCAAACAAATAAATAAAAATCCTGAAATAAGGAATGTTAAATAAAGATACACAATTGCCTTTCTGTTACAGTTTTCTCTACATTTTACAGTAGTTGTTCCATCAGTTAGACATGCTGCATATTTCTTTTTCTGCCACCAGCACCAGTAGTTTGTTTGGGATAAATAGATGAAGAGGGGGTAGTGAGCGTGATGGTGGCCACCATGAATGAACAAATGCACAAAGGTGTGTCACCTCCAGAAACACAGAATGCTTCAACACTAAACAAACAAAACTAAAGTTTAGCAGCTTGTGATTGTAATCCTCTGATAACCAGTCAAGCTGCACTTTCTATGCAGTTTATATTTGCTCCATATAATATAAAATATGTAATGAACACACTGAAAGAATTAAATTTGGACATCAAAGACAACCAGAAGTGAAATGCGTCTCCTTCTGTTCCACAGCAAATCAAATCACTTTTATTGTCACATCACATGTGCAGGTACACTGGTACAGTACATGTGAGTGAAATTCTTGTGTGCGAGCTTCACAAGCAACAGAGGTGTGCAAAGTACAATAACATAAGAACAAGCAAATATAAGAATGGCTAAATCTGAGAATTATATGAATAAATATATGTGCAATATAAGAGTGTATGCATATTACTGAATGTTTATACTAAATATGTATGTCTACGTGTGTGTGTGTGTGTATACATATTTTACAAATTAAATAGAGTAAAAATAAAATAAATATATAAAATATACAGAGGTTGGTAGTTGGATTGTGCAAAACAAGTGGCATTTATATACAGTATGGAGTGCAACGGTGTAAGGAGTGAAGAAAGACCACTACGTTTTTGGACAAATCTACCACAAATGATACATTCTTCCAGAAAATCCACTTAAGGGACATCTAGTTCAGGCAGATGGGTCAGAAGGACAGCCTGAAATCAGAAAGCTGAGGGCAGCGCAGGGTCGCAAAGCAGAGCTTTTGTTTCATCGTTTACAGTAAACGTCTCCTTTACGATTGGCTGTTTAAGTTGGTGCCAGAGAGGGTGGGGAAAGAAAATGCCGTCTTGACTGAACACACACTGCTGGCATGACAGGCATTTCACATAAACACACCCCACTCTCTCCTGACTACCCGTTAACATCCTCATCTGCGTCCTGTCTGACTGGGTTAATGTCTTTCTTCCAATCTTCTTGAGAAGTTGAAGAAAATTTAAAAAATCTATCCACATGTCACGTGCAAAGATGTTAGACGTTGGTGATGTTTATGACCACTCAAAGCACTTTAAACTACAAGCCAAATTCACCTGTATTTATATGGCACTTTATTCTGTGTCTGTGGATGCCCCCCTGCCCCCCCACAAAAACAAAAAAAGCATCAACTATGACTGCGTGGAAATAAACAGGAACTGATCACATTTAGAAGCCGATGTGACGCTGAAGTGTCTGCACATGTCTGTTTATTTAAGTGTTCTTTAATGGCTGTGTACCTGCGTGAGTCCCATGAATTTGTTGATGTTCTCGGACAGGAAGATCATGTCACCATCTGATGTTACCACGGTGACGAAGCCCTCCAGAGACTTCAGGTACAGGCTGTCCATCTGTCCGTTGTCCTCGCTGCCGTCGCTGCTGCTGCTGCTGCAGCCTGGAGGGAGAGGCAGCAAACAAGAGACGCTCACAAATTGTTTCTCATTCAGTGCTGATTATAAATGGATATCATTGTAAATCTGTGTGTGTTTGTGTGCACGCATCAGGCTTGTTTTCCCTCTTGAAGCTTTGGCTCGGGGACAAAACAAACCACTGTAGCTTCTTCCTGCGTCTCCGGCCACCCCTGATCCTCGACCCTGACAAACTGCATGACACTGCTCAAGCGGTGCCCGCTTTTAGGACATAACTTGCAATTATGCTCAAATACGCTCAGCGCAGTATCCAAACATTTACACACAGTGACTCCAGTCTGTCCACAGTGTCTTGTTTCAGCTAATTGATAGAAAAAACACCTCTAGCCTCGAGCTGGCCCCAATTCAAGAGGCAGGGCGTATGCGTTTGCAGACGCTGGCTTCACGCTGAACAAAGCCCAGTAGTTGATGGGGGTGGAGGGTGGGAAGCTTGCAATTCCTCCAGTGTGTTTCCCTGAGATAAGAGAGAGCAACTCTCAAGGCTTCCAACGAGGCCTGGGGCTTGAGTTTGGAGCTGGGCCCAGATAGCATTAGCCCCTGAGGGACCTGGAGCTTTCACATGGGCCCCAGGGAGCTGGGGAGACTCTCAAGGCTCTATCCAAAGACCAGCGCCACCTTTGGCCTAAATACTAAGCTGTGATTACCAGTCATTTGAACCGAGTTGCACTTTTCTTCTCTGTGCTGTTCTTTGGTTGCGTAACTGCCCTCGTTTCATAATAATGGGAGCAGAACAGAGCGTTTGATAGGGACAGCTGCTGCTAAGATAATCATTTCCCCTCTATTTTCTGACATTTGTCCGGTCATACTGGACAGAATGAAGGGACAGAGCAGTGAGGCAAAATAAGTTTCTCACAATATGAACTCAGAACATTATGTGACTGTCATAGTGGGAATTCTTTTTCCACCATTGTCCTGTTCGTCACGTTTGTAAAGACGGAATATCTGGTGCATGCTTTCACATGCCAAACAAAAAAGATTCAGGGTGTGCTACACATTAGGACGCCACAAGAGAAAACCTTGACAATGTCACCTACCCGATGTGGGCTTCAGGGACTGAGGCTCAAATGAGCATCTATTTTTTTGGGTTAGGATTTGATTTTAAAACGAGGAGAAGAAAACGTGAAACTGAACAAAAACAAATATTTTCTTTCTTTCTTGTTGAGCCTAAACTGTCAGAATAGTTTTGTTAGGTCAGTAAATGCCTGAAGGGAACCAGTACCAAATATTTAGACATAAATCTAAAAGTAAGGCACAATTTCGATAAGTACCATTAAAAAAAACAAATACATAACACACAAACTGTTTTCTGAAAAGATGAGAAATATTCAGTAATGAACGCAACCAAGGATAGAAAAAAAGAAAATCCATATGCACATCTTGTCTGTCATTTATGCACATGTTACTAAAGCAGTAACTTAACATAAAAACACTCTACTGAAAACATCTGTTACAATAATTGTTTGGAAATTTCTAGATTTTTTCCCTTATTTTGGTCAATCTGCTTTTTATTCTACTCCTTATCCAATCGCTAGGGTTGCTGGAATGTTGAGCATATCCTGGTATATGAGCATGAACTGAGCATATCCTCACACCCATTAACAACAGGCAGGGCTCTGCTGGACAGTGGGTTCAAACTTATCAAACTTTTTTCTATTTGGCTGATGATTTCAGACAATCCCAGTGTTGGTCAGGAGATCAGGTGGTTAGAGCCAGTCTTGTGTCACTAAGACGCTGAACTGATGCTGTGCTCATAATTTTAGTTTTAAAGCAATAAAATAGGCTAAAAACACTCAACACTTTTAAGTATCTCAAGTATATTTATTTTGATTTCCATTAACTTCAGCAGTTTGTAGTCTTTGAGGGAGCCGCATTCTCAAAATATGTTATAAAAGCATGTATAAAATATATATAAAAGTAGTTGCTTAAAATCTGGGGAAATATTTATTAAAGCATGAGGAGAAAAATGAAGAGACGTAATCAGGATTTCAGCATGTTCTATCATATATTAGAGCTGTACATGGTGCAATTATGTGTTTATTTTAAATGATTTCTCTTAGGTTATATGCTAAGAAAACGTTAAGCATACTAAATACATACAGAGAGACTGAGGAGGAGCTTCTTCCCGCAGGCGATACGGTCTCTCAATCACACCACCACACAGTACTGACCCACACATATAGTTCTTACACACACACTG